ATTTATTAAAGAGGTAAATATAAAATATTAAGTATGAGAAATAATAAGTATCAATATAGACAATAAAATCAATAGGATAAACTCTAAAAAGAACATTACTGCAGAAATTATTACTGATTTGGAAGATAGCACTGAATACTTCACCTACCACACAGCAAAGAGATAAAAGTGGTAAAATATATGCACAAGCCATTACGACTCCAAGATCTACTGAAATCCTTTACACTTAAACTTTAGGCCTGGATCTCTTGGGATGCCTTTCCCAGTATACAGAATACAGGCAATGGCAGACAAGGAATATGTGATAAGATATCAACTGAGAATTTTCTGACACTGAAGAAAGATAAAAGTATTCAAATTGATAGTGCACTTTGAGTACCAAGTATAATAATAATAATAATAATAATAATAATAATATAACAACATGATAAATCCATTGCTAGATACATAATCGAGACTTTTTAGGAAATCAGCAATGAAAGAAAAAATTCTTAAAGCTAAAAAGAAATGTAAGTTCACTTAAAAGCTAAAAACTTCACATACAGGAGACTTCTCTGAAAGGTCATAGAAAATAGCTTCAGGGGTGCCTGGCTGGCTCAGCTGGAGCAAGCGACTCTTGACCTTGGGGTCGTGAGTTCAAGCCCTATGTTGGATGTGGAGATTACTAAAAGAAACTTGAAAAAAAGAAAAAAGAAAAAGGAAAATAGCTTCAAAGTGCTTAGGAGAAAAATAATAATGAACTCAGAATTGTATACTAAGAAAAAGTGTAATTCAAAAGTAAGGACAAGGTACCTGGGTGGCTCAGTTAGTTAAGTATCCGACTCTTGATTTCAGTTTCAGGCCACGATCTCACTGTTCACCAGATCCAGCCCCACACCAGGCTCCATGCACTGACAGTGCAGAGCCTGCTTGGGATTCTCTCTCTCTCCCTCTCTCTTTCTGCCCCTCGCATGCTCACTCGCTCGCTCGCGCTCTCTCTCAAAATAAATAAATAAACATTTAAAAAACAAGGAAAAAAACCGAAAGGACAAAATGAAGACATTTTTAGAAATAAAAAGACTGAAAGAAGTTGTGTGAAAGGTGAAATGAAATGGGTTCACTTATATCCAGGGGTTTTAAAATGGAGCCGGGAGGCCATTAAGGAGGTGGGCCTTCTGCACATCCTCACTGGCAGAAGCATGAACATTAGAAATGGGCCAGACCCAAATACTCTAAGGACTCAGCCTGAACACCTGCAACTTGTTATAGGAATGCTCCTTTGCCTAGTGATCGCCTTAGCAACCAATTACAGTCAGCCCAAGATTAGTTTCATGCCACCAACACCAATCACAAACCTTTGTAAACAACAGATAAAAGCATTCCCCTTTACCTTTAAAAATCTTTCACTTTTGTTCCCTGAGGGGACACAATTTCGGTTGCTGCCCAAATCTGTGCTCCCCAAATTGCAATTCTAAGACGCCAAATAAATGCTTTTACTTTAGCTCTGCCTGTGTTCTCAGTCAACAATTGCTACAAACAAAACCTTACAATATTTGTTTTGGTTAGAAGAAAAACCCTAAATGAAAAACATTTTTTTTTCTTCCTGCAAGTATCTTTCAACAATGTGTCAACAGGGAGGTTGGATGGGGCTCAAAACTTTCCCCAGGTTTCTTACAATCCCCCTTTAACCCTTTCTTTCCCAGTGGCAATTACCCCACCTTGTCCTGTCTGTTCTCTAGGAACTACGCTCTGTCGTTGGTTGGCTCAGCGGGGACAAGAGCCCTGACTGGTGTACCCCAAAGTCAGGAGCAGGATCCAGGTGTTTCTCCTCTCTTTAGCCAATATCTTCTTGGTTTACACCATGGCCTCTTTGCTATGCTTGCTACTCCTTAAATGTTTTTCAGAGTTTTATCCATGCCCCTCTTCTCTTCCTCAATATTGTATCTTAATGTGCAAACGTTAGAAACACCTAAGCACATATTAAAATGGAGAGTCTTGCTTCTAGCCCCAAATATACTGAATCAGAATGAAGAAGAGTAACCCCTGTAAAAACTCCTGCCAAACAAGAAAGAACTGAGGCTGCAAAGCAAACCAAAAGTTTATTTGGGGTCCTTAGGAATTCGAATACCAGAGGCACAGATTCGGTAGGAGCCTGAAATGTGCTCCGAGGAAGGAAGAGAAAGACAAAGTTTATAGAAGCAAAAACTGCAGGCTTATGTAAATTGTATTGAAAGAATTATGATTGGCATAGGCAAAAATAATTAGCGTTGGTCTATATACGATAGGTTGATTACTGTGCTAGTTGCTAGGTTGTAGTAAAGAAAACTAAGCCTCATTCTGAGAATTCCAACAGCCTGTGGCAGTTTGTGACTGGCACAGTCTAAAAGTTCATGTTCCTCCCCAGGTGTGGATGTGCATAAAACCAGCCTCCCCAGTGGCCTCCCAACTCCGTTTTAGGGCCCCCTGACATTCCTACTTCATTTCAAATGTTTCTGTTCACACTCTGCAGTTAGCAGGCAGCTAGGATCATTCTACTGCATACTAGAGTTTGAGAACCAGTGCTTTTATAAGCTTTCCCTAAGCATTATCCTGTACAGCTTTGTTTTTGACTCCTAACGATTCGCCAATAAGTCACAAAACTTGTATCAGCATCAAACCCATGTTCTAAGTTCCATATGAATATATCCATCTGCTAACTGGCCATTTCAGTATACATATCCTATATTTACCTAAAGTAATGCATCCAAATTTGAATCCATTTTCTTACCCCTTCATTCCATATAGTCCCTGAGGTAAGAATGTGAGTTACTTCAAGCTCCTGTGTTCCCACCTACACTTGTTCCCACATTTTCTACCACTCCCCAAATCATTTAGCCTCACCACCAACCACTGCTTGTCCCTGGGTATGCTATGTTCTGTCACATCTGTCTGCTTCGGCGTATGTTCCTTCTCCCAGTCTGGGGTCATACTCCCCTTTCATACCTGGGAGACTCCAACTCCATGTGGAACATCTTCCTTGAGGCCTTTTCTCACTCCATCGACAGGGCCTTACCTCTGTGTTTTTACAAGATCTCAGTCACAGCACCTTCCACATGGTCTGGAAACTACCTGCTCACACCTGTCTTCTCCATTAGTGAGGGGGCACTTGCACCAAAGGTCTGATTAGGGCTCGTTTGTTTTTAAATCAAGGTTGAGCACAGACCCTAGCTTGGAGAAATACTTAGCACCTGCTTTATTAAGTAAAGGCATAAACACATGAGTAAATTAACAGATCTTTGACCAAGGTTCAAAGATTCTACAATGATAAATCAGCGTATGTATTTATTTTTATTTTTTTTAATTATTTTGAGAGAGAGAGAGCACGCGCACAAGTGGGGGAGGGGCAGAGACAGAGGGAGAGAGAGGAATCCCAAGCAGCGTCCACACTGTGAGCACAGAGCCCTGAGTGGGGCTCAAACTCACAAACCACGAGATCATGACCTGAGCCGATGTCGGACGCTCAACCGACTGAGCCACCCAGGTGCCCCAGCATTATGTACTTTTTAAAACATGGGGCGCCTGGGTGGCTCAGTCGGTTGAGCGTCCGACTTCGGCTCAGGTCATGATCTCATGGCTGGTGACTTCGGACCCCATGTCGGGCTCTGTGCTGACAGCTCAGAGCTTGGAGCCTGCTTCAAATTTTGTGTGTCCCTCTCTCTCTGCTCCTCCCCCACTCATGCCATGTCTCTCTCTCTCTCTCCTTCAAAAATAAATTAAAAAACATTAAAAAAAATTTAAATGTGCAGTGTCAGCACACATGGAACCTTTAGATTCCAGAAAAATCTTATCTTTCATTCTACAGGAAATTCACTTGCTAAAGAGCAAATCAAAGTCCCCAAATAGGAAACTCCAGGTAAAACCTCCTACTGCCTTTTTAGACTCCTTTTTCAATACAAAGCCACAAATGTCGGCACACTATAGTATGTTACTTGTCCTCTAGAGATAAGGAAGAAGTTTGTGGATATTGTTAGACTTCTTTCTGGTTATTCACTCTATTCCCCATGTAACTGCTCTAGTCTCTGAATTAATGTGATGCCTTTTGGTCTTAGGAACCATTGATAGTCACAAGTGCTGGACTAAGAAATAGTGGAAAGTGTACAGTGTGACAGTTTCAAATTATTGGAGCACTTCAGATAGGAGAGCAGTTGTGATTCTTGGAAGGATCAATATGAGAAGGTTTCAGATTATGTAAATATAATGCATTACCATAAACACCAAAATATAACAGCACTTAGATCTCTACATACATTCATGGCAAATATGATTTTACTTTCCTAAGGATTTGGAGAGGTTTTATAAAGGCTTTGTGAGAAATACACTCAGAGACTGACCAAACCACTCCTCCCACATACGGTATGGCAGAAGAAAGGACAGACAAATAATCTATGACTCTATACTCAAAGAAACATGTTTAGAGAGCCAGAGAACAATAGAGGCTTTTGAAGACTCATAGAATTTTAGCTTTTGTCCTTTTTTGGGGAAGAAAAATCTGGGACACATGGGCCTCTATTCTCCTCTACTTGAGTATCTGCAGACAAGACTAATGGACTGCATAGACGTTTCCCTAGAATTCCACTTAACACCATGTGAAGAAATTATAATCAGTCCATTTACAGTGATTCCTAAAGGCCATTTCTGACCTAGTACAGGGTTGCCGAATTTTTCTATAAAGTACCAGAGAGTAAATATTTTAAACTGTAGCTTTATGGTTTCTGTCCATTGAACCTTGCTGTTAGAGCACAAAAGCAGGCACAGACAATACACAAAGAAATGACTGTGGCTATGTTTCCGTAAAACTTTATTTATAGACAATAAAATTTGAATTTTATGCAGTTTTCTTGTGTTACTTAATATTCTTCTATTAAATTTTTCAACCTTTAAAAATGCAAAAGTCTCTTATTTGTTAGTAGGGGTATAAAAAGAAGTGGCAGACTAGATCTATGGTTTGCAAATTCTTGTCCTAGTATAGTTCTTTTGTTCTACACGTAAGAAAATAGGCCACAAAAAGGGGAAGCGATTTGCTTAAAATCATATGAATGACTAATTCGTGGCAGAGCCAGTCATTTTGTGCCAGTGTCTTAAAGATGGTCCGTATTTGCTGTTTATTATTATATTTTTCTGACTGACAACTACCGAGCAAAATGCTCTCTTTTACTTTGAGAAAATGAATTTTCTCCAGGATCATTTTGAAATATATCTATATTGTTTAAAGACTCACTGTAGAAGCATATGGACTACATATACTTATGTGCATGGATTTCTAAGCTGAAATCATTTTTCTTTTGCTACAAATGTACTCTGTAACTTAAAAGGGAACCAATCCCAATAATTTGCAACCAGTCTATTTTCAAAGATACACATAACAGAAATCAGGTATAACATATTCAGAGAATAGATTTAGTCAGTTTAAAAAGTAGACAAGGCCTATTATAATTGAAACATTACTCCTTAGAAATACTCCAGAAGACGAAAGAACAATCATGAAAATATGTTCAATTCTACTGAAGCTCAAGAAATATTTTGGGAAAAAGTATTTATTTATTCTTCAACATCAAAGGCGCACCCTTGATGGTAGAGGACACCCCTGTCCTTATGAGTTTAGCATTTTCACGGATAAAATTGTGCTGACCAACTGGCCGTCTATCAAACATCTTGTTAGTAGTGTCAACTTTGGCTTTGACATTCATCGGTGGCTTGGTAACTGGAGGTAACCCATTGATGTCATACAACCAGTACATGTCCGGTGTCTGGAAACAAAGAGAGGAGAAATTTCACATGAAATATTCAAGGATTGAGAGAATACCTTCTCTCTTCTCCATGCAAGGTATGGGAAAGGTACAAAACTGAAAGTGTGCCGGTAATAGATAATTAACATGGAAAATAAATTCAGGAAAGCATTTGGTTTTATGAATTAAGAACCACGGGGCACCTGGGTGACCAGCTGGTTAAGCATCCAACTCTTGATTCCGGCTCAGGTCACAATTTCATGGTTTGTAGGATCGAGCCCTGCATCGGGCTCTGTGCTGTCAGTGCAAAGCCTGCTTCGGATTCTCTCTCCCCCTCTCTATGCCCTTCTCCTCCTCCCTCTCAAAATAAATAAACATTAAAAAAAAAAAAAAAAAGAACCACTCACTAAAAGGTCCCTCAGAGATAGAGGTCTGCACCAAGGGTGAACTCAGCATCCATATGATCTAAGGGGAAGCAATCTATTTTCTTTGCATGAAACTGTTGCCCAGCATGAACTACACAACTAATGGAAACCATGCCTTCCAAGATGAACTTATCCATGAGAATTTAACTGTGGCTATAGAACGGACTGGTAAAATATGTCGAGCTTCTGTTTTTTTAGATTATGAAAGTCTATAAATAATACAACCATTTGAAATTACTGAGCATTGTATAAAATCATTAATGACAGTCATAATCTAAATCCAAGTTAGTACCACTTAGGGATTTCTTTAAAGATCCATCGTTTTTGGTTTTTTTTCCTGTATATATGCACAGGACGGCAGAAGTGAATTACAAAGCCTAGCATTTTCTGCATGTTTATATTCATACTTAAATCCCACTGCTCTTGCAGAATTTCCTGATGCTGTGTTTATCTAGGCCTTCTTCCCCACGATAAGATTAGGATCACGTGTGTTCCGAAAACTCATTCAGGATAAATCCAGGCTAAGTGAATATTGCAATAACATGAGTCAGGGTGTAAGGGGTAATGTGATATCCATCGAAGAATGTTAAGTGCAGGATTTTCTTGCACACCTGGAATGCCCCTATTTTAGTCGTTAACTGGCTCTTCCATCCAGTGCTCATAGTAATTGTGTATTCAGAATCAAAGAGGTAAAAGCGGAACCAAAAACTATACTATAACTGTGTTAAATAACATTTTCCTTCACATAAGGATGTTAGATTGGTGTAAAAACACCCCCAACTCTCTAGCCCCATTGATGTAAATAGTCTACAGTGTGTCTTCCATACTATTTTCCAGAGAAATTCTGTAAGATGAAATTCCAGTTGCCCACTATGGTAATTGACTTGATAAAGCACTTTGTTTTTATTCCTTTTCTGTCTCACATCTTGGCTTCCTTGCATCTGTTTCTTTAGATCACATAGCAAATGTGCTACTTGGATTTGAATCCTTATTTTGGATTTTTGCTTAAGAGGAAATACAAACCAAGATATATATTATATACATATAATATATATATATATATTCTATTTCTTACAGTTTTATAACAATGATTTATTCCCATAAAAGCAATGTATTTATATACATATTACTTATGTCTGGTTATGTCTCTAGCTATAACAGGTCCATCTATGTTACTTTTGCACAAACATATGTTTTATCTTGGATAATTTTGGTAGCTTTCACATTTTTGTATAAACTACTTAAGATTTATTATGTCAACCATGGAAAGTTTAGTGGACTACCTATTCTCTTTGAGTGACATTGCTTTTTGTAAACAGTCTGACCAAGTTACTTAAGTCTCTCAAAACTAGTGCTATATGCCTTCTTTAATAGTGGGGAAAAGGCAGTTTTTAATCATTCTAAATATGGTTTAATTGAAAGAGAACTTATGAAGCTTGCTAATTTAGTTGTTGAAGTTTGTGTGGGCTAATATTTAACTAAAGTGTTCTTAAAGATCTTAATTTTTGTTTCTAAGTAAAGCACAATGAAGATCATATGTTTCATATATAAGTATTAATTGATTTAATGTTTAACATCAATAGCTTAAAAGATGATAATACCATATGCAGGGTAATTTTTATTTAGATAATGAAACTTTAAAACTTCTTCACATTTATCATGTGAGACATCATGTGAGACGTCATGTGAGACATCGTGTGAGACATCATTAAGAGCAGGGTTTTGAGTCAGAAAGACAATGTTTGAATCATGATTTCAAAATCATTGATTTGATATCTGCAATAACTTTTATGAATCTCGAGGGCATTATGCTCAGCATAAAAAGCCAATCTCAGAAGGTCACACAGAGTATGATTCCATTCATGTAATGTTCTAGAAATTAGAAAATCAAAGAGATGGAGAAAAGATTAGCAGTTGCTGCGGTAAAGGAGGAGTTATGGTATTGGACGTGACCATAAAGAGCATGACACAGTTTCTACAATGTTACCAATTCTCTCAGTTGTGTTGGAAGAGTTCTGTATGTCAGTTGTGATTGTAGTTATACAGATCTACACATGGGTTCAAATTGTCTAGAAATACACACACACACACACACACACACACACACACACACACACACACACCCCCCACATATACATGGAGGAAGAAGACCTCTAGCTTAGTTAACAATGTTTTGTCAATGTCAATTTCCTTCTTTTGATATATTACTGTAGCTCTATAAAATCTCACCATTGGGAAAAGCTGGGAGAAGTATTCATAGGACTTTATGTACTATTTTTGCAACTTCTTATAAGTTAATACTTTTTTTAAGTTAAAAAATATGAGACGCGTGAGTCAATTGGAAATTTGAACACTAAATGGAGATTTGATATGTTGTGATACTAAGGGATTATTGTTAATTTTCAGATGTGATAAAGGTATCATGGTTATGATTTTGGTCTTTTAGAGATTAATAGGAAATAGTTGAAGATAATATGATGTCTGGGATTTTCTTCAAAATAATATGGAATATGGGGAAGGGGGTGGGAATACACTTGAAGTGACCCTGATTTGATAAGTGTTCACCCTGGATGATGAGTGTATGTGGAGTAATTATTCACTCTCTTCATATTCACATTTGGAATTTTCCAAAATAAAAATAGAGTCAACAAAAGTGATTTCTTCAACACATTTCTTTTTTTTTTTTTTTTAAATTTTTTTTTTCAACGTTTATTTATTTTTGGGACAGAGAGAGGCAGAGCATGAACGGGGGAGGGGCAGAGAGAGAGGGAGACACAGAATCGGAAACAGGCTCCAGGCTCTGAGCCATCAGCCCAGAGCCCGACGCGGGGCTCGAACTCACGGACCGCGAGATTGTGACCTGGCTGAAGTCGGACGCTTAACCGACTGCGCCACCCAGGCGCCCCTCTTCAACACATTTCAATATCAATTTTCCACATAAGCTTTATCAAACTGTACCACTTCAGACTAAATGAAAATTTCATATTTTCATTTGATCCCATATGTCAACTTACTCTCCCACAGAAACCCTTCAATTCTGCTGCCAGTGATTTAATTGTCAAATCAACATAGGGAAAACAGGCACAGCTTATGTTGGGAAGGCCTCCAAAGTAATTCATTTCAAAAATGTCAACTGTGCACTAGGTAAAATAAACATCATTTTCGTTTGTAAACCTGTTTTTAAATATATCATTTAATCCCTTAGAGTAAGAGTATGTCATTATTTCTTAAGAAATAGGTACAATATGATCATTTTAAACCAAGCATCAATACAGCAAAGGGCAATGTGTGGCAAGGCCCCAGAGGCTTTGTATTGTTATTACCTGGGTTGTAAAAACTCCCAGAAAGATGAAAAATATAAACAATTTTCTCAAGAAATATTCAACATTATTCTTTTCTCTATTCATTAAAAGAGCAACAACACATCTTTCTGCCCATTGCACTGCTTAATTAGTGTCTGATTTAGAAGTCTAGTAATCACTTTGGCACCAGTGGTTGTGTCTTGAAACATAACTACACGTCCTTTGTGTCTGTGCTACTGAAAATAGACACTGGCAATAGGTATCTTTTCATAAACAGTTTGAAAGCTGTCTTTAGCCTAGAAGCTATTAGCAAAATACATGTGTGAAATCTTATGGAGAAATTTTGCTTGCTGCATAAATTTTCAAAATTGTGTTTACCTTAACTTTATTAAGATGATCACTTGAGCAGACTTTTATATTAACGGCCCACTTTACATTGTTTTTCTCAATTAAAAATAAATTTTATCTTCTATTTAATTTTCTTCATTTTATTTATTTATTTATTTTGAGAGAGCACAAGAGAGCAGGGGAGCGGCAGAGAAAGAGAGGGAGACAGAGAGAATCCCAAGCAGGCTCCACATTGTCAGCATGGAGCCTGACACAGGGCTCGAACCCACGAACCACAAGATCATGACCTGAGTTGCAATCGAGAGGCAGATGCTTAACCGACTGAGCCATCCAGGCACCCCTAATTTTCTTCATTTTAGACTTTAACATTTTGGCAATACCTTATGGCTTCATCAAAGATTCCAAAATCTCTATCTCAAATCACCTGAAGTTCTTGAATAGGTTATTACAGAAAACAATATGTGAATATACAAATCACTTTACCTGTATTGCTAATGTTGCTTTGTACTTCTTACTGTACATTTGGGGTGTAAAACCCACAATGATGAGAGTTCCTTCAGTGTCAAAAGGAAGAAGTTTTCCAACCTTAGGTTTTACAAAAAACACAGGATCACTGCCAGGTAGGAAGTATGCAGTGAATGGCTCAGGATTTCTAGAACAAAAATACAAATAGTAACCTTTAAGTTTTATCATTACTCTTTGTGAGAACTTGATGGATAGAGTTTATATCCTGTTGCACAGGACTACAGTTAAACATTAATGCTGCCATGCATCTGTGAGCCTGATGCTTGTTACTTTATCATGGTGAGGAGGCATTTTTAAAATTACTGAACAATGTCATTCTTCCCAGGGTGACAAGATGGAATTCTAAAGATTTTTTTAAATTATGTCTTATGTTTTTATTGTACAAAGAATAAAATGCTGTCTCTATAAAAATGTGGAGAAATCAATGTCCCAAATTAAAATGCGATCATTTGTAAATAAATTCATATCTAAAATGCATGGCTAGAACAGCCATCAGGAAGCCTTTGTTTTTATGACTATTCCAATGTGATTGCTCACTTTCCTTTAGCTTTCCACTTGTGAAGTGAGATGAAAGTACTTTGAAGGTTTATTAAAAGATTCTTGAGCCTGAAGAGGAGTTGCTATGATCTGAAGTGAACGGAGAGGCATTTAGGATTCAAGTGACCATTTTCACATTAAGGTTGATTATATCTGAGATGAGGACTGAAAGAGAAGTTGAGAAACTCCTCTGGTAGAATAAAGCAGGGGAGGAGCACGCTGCATGGCAGGCTGTACATGAGGAATTTTGTAACCAAAGTGACAGGGGAGATGCAAGTAGAAGGCAAAGAATGGTTTCCTAGAACAGATCCAACAGTGAATCACAGAAAAGGAGGTGCGAGATTCTGGTCGGGACTCAGTGATCCATCCAGCTAATGTATTGAGTATCGTCGCAGAGGGTTTGAAAAAGTGGACTATGGATATGGATGGCCTGGACTGGAATCCCAGCTCCATCTAAGTGCATAACTTGAAACAACTTACCTTTTTGGACCTCAGTTTTCATACCTGTTCAATGAAGGTAATAACCCCTATAAAGCAATTAGCTCAGTACCTGACATGTGGCAAATGCTCTATATGGATTAATCAATATTAATACAGTCAGTCATTATGATTGTTGTTTTTAAAAATTTGTTTTTACATTTTTTATTTATTTTTGATAGAGGGAGAGACAGAGCACAAGTGGGGGAGGAGCAGAGAGAGAGAGAGGGAGACACAGAATCTGAAGCAGGCTCCAGGCTCTGAGCTGTCAGCACAGAGCCCGACATGGGGCTCGAACTCATAAACCGCAAGATCATGACCTGAGCTGAAGTCGGACACTCAACCGACTGAGCCACCCAGGCGCCCCTATCGTTGTTGTTTTAAAACATCTTACTACCAGTGCTAGGCAATGACGCATGATGCAATAAATAAGATGAATGTATACAACTGAATACTCGGGTTCTGGTGGAACAGAAGACCCAGAACCTCTTTTCTCCCAAGCAACAACAATACAAAGATCAATTCCAATTGTGAGACATTCAGAAACCAGTTGAGAGGCTTCTGTCTTCCAGGGGAGCACAAAATCAGCTGTTTGGAAGTCAGTAGAAAAATCCGTGGCATGCTCTCAGCACAGTCTGCCCTCCTCACCAGTGCAATACCACATGATTAGGAAGAAATTCTCAGTTTCCATTTCTCCCCGGGGAAGGAAACAGAAGGGTGGACCAGATATCCAACAATTGGACTTCTGGTTGGAATGTGAGGACAGCTGCCCAAGAGACTGGCTTCTGTCTTGCTTATCTTGAAGTCCTGATGGGACCTGACACACTGGAGACGCATGGGGGCTTCTAAGAATAAAGTGGGCAGGTGCTCCAGAGGTTCCAGGGTAGAGCAGACAGAAATTGTACAGCTCAAAATCTTCTCCCTAAGTGTGGAAAAAGAAGAGTGGAACATGTGTCCAATTTTCTGGATTTTCAGTGTGCTGCTCAAGGTTCTGGTTTCTATCTTGTCTCAGAAAACTGACAGAACGTGGCAAAATCTAGATGCCTGGAGGCTGCTGAGGGGGAAAATAAAGATCTGGGTGGTGTGCTGCTGCTTCAGAGTGCCCGGAGTATAGAAGACAGAGAGCAAAAGAGCAAGAAGCTAGGAACTCCTGAAAAAAAAAAAAAAAAAAAGGAAACCAGCAAACTCCTTTAATTAGTAATCTTCACACACAAGTTCAGAGAGATATACTCACAAAAAAAAATCTGAGAGGTCCCCAGGATCCCCACTTGGTTTAAGTGGTGAAGATCTTTCCCTGAAAGAAGCTAGTCCATAAAGACCGAGAGAGATAGCTATTTTTCCAAATGTGTGGATACCAACACAAAGTTAGAAAGAACATGAAGAAACAGGAAAAAATTACCCAGTTAAAGGAACAAAAGAGACCTCTAGAAACACACCATAAAGAAATGAAAGTATGGGAATTAGTGACCAATTATTCAAAATAACTGTCATGAAGATGTTCGACACTTTCAGGAAAACCATACATGAACAAAACAAAGAGGCAGAAAATATAAAAAAGGGCAAACAATTTTAGAGCTGAAGACGGCAATAACTGACCTGAAAAATTCACTAGAGGGGTTCAACCATGGATATATATGATCAAGCAGAAGGAATTAGGGAGTTCAAAGACATGTAATTTGAAATTATTCAGTTAGAGGAACAAAAAGAAAAATAAATTAAACAGAGTAAATAAAATCTAAATGACTTATATAACAGCATCAAGTGGACCACTATACATGTAATGAGTCTCAAAAGAAGAGGGAAATGAGGGCAAGAAAACTTACTAAAAGAAATAATGCCAAAAAACTCCCAAATCTGAGGAAGGAAAGAAATATAGACTCATGAAGTCCAACATATTCCAAATGGGATGAAACTAAAGAACTCCACAATGAAACACACAATCAAAATGTCAACAGTTAAAGACAAAAAGATAATTTTGAGAGGAGCAAAGGAAAAAAGGATTCCTCATATACAAGGCCACCCTTGTAAGACCATTAGCAGATTCCTCAGTAGAAACCTTGTAAGACTGAAGTGAGTAGGATGATATATTCAAACTGCTGCAAACAAACTGTCAACCCAAAATACTATATCTAGCAAAACTGTCCTTCAAAAATGAAGAAGATAAAGAATTTCTTGATAAACAAAAGCTGAGGGAGTTAATCACCATTAGACATGTCTTACAAAACATACTAAAGGGAGTCCTTCAAATTAAAATGGAAAGATGTTAAACAGCAACACAAAAGTATTTGAAAGTCAAAGCTCACTGGTAGGGGTAAATACAAAGAAAAATACACAACACTAAATACTGTAATGGGGGTATACAAACCATTTTTTTTATTAAAAAAAATTTTTTTAATGTTTATGTATTTTTGAGACAGAGAGAGACAGAGCATGAACGGGGGAGGTTCAGAGAGAGGGGGAGACACAGAATCCGAAGAAGGCTCCAGGCTCTGAGCTGTCAGCACAGAGCCTGACGCGGGGCTCGAACTCACGGACTGTGAGATCGTGATCTGAGCTGAAGTCGGACGCTTAACCAACTGAGCCACCCAGGCGCCCCTACGAACCATTTTTTAATTGTGGCATAGAAGTTAAAAGACAAAAGTACAAAAAATAAAAATTATAAAATGTATTAATCGTACACAATATAAAATGTGTAATCTGTACATCACTAACAAAGTATAGAGATTTTGTATTCAGTTAAAGTGGTTATTAGCTTAAAAGAGATTTTTTTTAACCTGTAAGTTGTTTTATGTAATCTTCACTGTAATCACAAACACCTATGGAAGTTGAGAAGGGAAAGAAGTGTGTCACTAAAAAAAACCCATCAAAACTACACAAGGGAAGACAGCAACAAAGGAAAAGATGGACAAAAGAACATAGAGAAAACAACAAAATGACAACAGTAAGTCCTTCCCTACCAATAATTATTTTAAATACCCTACCAATAATTATTTTAAATATAAAACAGACACCCCAGTCACAAGACACAGAGCTAATTGAATAAAAAACAAGATCCAAGTATACGCTGTCTACAAAAGACTAACTTTAGATTTAAAGATACACATAAGCTGAAAGTTAAAGGAAGGAAAGAGATACTCCATGCAAATGGTAAACAAAAGAGAGTGTGGATAGCCTTACTTATATTAGGCAAAATAGACTTAATAAAACTCTGTAACCAGAGACAAGGACATTATATAATGACAAGATCAATTCATAAGAATGATATAATAATTATACATGTATATATATATATATGCCCAACAGCAGAGCACTTAAATGTATGTACAAAAGATTGACAGAATTAAGGGAGAAATAGACAAATAGAATAATAGAAATAACATCATATTCAACACTGAAAAGCCAAAGCTTTTCCTCTAAGACCACTATCTCTGTTAGCAGATGACATAATCATATATGTAGAATGATTACACAAAAAATCTCTTAGGACTAATAAATGAAGTCAGTAAAGTTGTAGGATATAAAATCAATATGTAAAAATCGGTTGCATTTTTATACAATAGCATTGAACTATTTGAAAAAAAATGGAGACTTCAATACCCCATTTACAATAATGGATGGGAAACTCAGAAGATCAATAAGAAAAAAGAAGACTGGAACAACACTACAGACCAAATGGTCTGACAGATATATACAGAACATTCCATCCAACAGCCACAGCATTTACATTCTACTCAGGTGCACATAGAACAATCTCCAGGGCAGATCACAGGTTAAGTCACAAATCAAGCCTGAATAAACTTAAGAAGACTGAAATTATACCAGCTATCTTTTCCCACCACAATGGAATAAAACTAGCTATCAAGAGCAGAAGGAAAACTGGGAAATAAACAAATGTGTGGAAATTAAACAACGAACTCTTGAACAACCAAGGAGTCAAAGAAGAAATCAAAGACATATTAGAAAATATCTTGAGACAAATGAAAATGAAAATACAACATACCAAAGCCTATATAATGCAGCAAAAGTAGTACTTAGAGGGAAGTTTGTGGTGAAAAAAACCCTACATTAAAAAAGAACAAAGATCTCAAGTAAACAACTTAATTCTACACCTCA